GCCAGGGCAGGGGTCATTAGTCAATGTATCTGGTCCTGACTCAGCCATGGTGCCACTTGTCTGCTTTTGCTGCTTTTCTGGGCCTGGAGCTGAAATACAACTGAGGGCTAGATGTTATCTTTAGGGGGGAAACACTCAGGGAGTCTAAACTGCATGACCAGCAATATGCTGGGGAAGGATAGGTTACCCTGGGGACAAGGCTCTTGTTTTACTAGTTTGGGGTTATATAAAATTAGAAGTAATTTTGCTGGCCATTATTAAAGTCCAGTGATCAGAGAGAAAGCAAAAATAAGAACAAGACTTATAATTATTTGTTATATGTCCCCCTACCCCAAGCACCTGAAGGTCAGGGACTGTGTCTAATGCCTCCTTGCCTCTCTAGCACGACATCTACAATGTCAGTTGTGCCTCATTATTGAAAGTATTATCTTAGGCTAGTTTCCTCAGGCTCTTTTTGACCTGCCTTACAGCACCCATGGACATAGAAGCCTCTGATTACATCAGCTTTAGCCTCCTCAACGAGAGGAATCCTGGCCCAAAGCAGGCCACAGTACTTTCCCAAGTGTAGCTCGGAGATGAGGAACAAAGTGTAGCTAAGACCTTCAATAGCCCCACCTGCCAGGTTAAGAAGTTTTACGTATTGCTGACTGGCCTGATCTCTATTCCCTGGAAGGGTTCTGGTCCGTCCTCCTAGTTTGTGTGACCCACAGGGGAGACATGAGTGGAACCTGACTCACTCAGGATCTTCTGGTGCTAATCTAATAGTTTGGATTCTCAGAGCAGCTCATACGCCCACTTCTAAGTTAAAGCTTGCAATTCTATAAATAGGAGCAAAAGCAAATTTTATTGCCTATTCAGATATGCGATTAGATTTTGCAAAGAACTTGGATATTCATCAAAGAGGAAAACTATAATTTTATTCCTTCACTGTGAAATGAGAGCAGTCGTTGACTAAGTCTCAGGAATGAACATCTCACTGGCAGACTCTTTTCTCTGGCAACCTATGACATCAGTCCAACCCATACAATGTAGCACCGCCAGAGCTAATCAAAATCAGATAAGGGGTCAGACATCAAGATAAGTATTGCAAAAAAAGAAATCTGACTTAGGTAGATTGGGTGATGACATCTCAGACCTAACTTTTTATGTTCCATTAATCTTTTGTAAAGCAGTACCATTTGCCTGCAGTGTGTTTGTGGGTGGCCAGACTCGCCTTTCCTGATTTTGTTTTGAAATAAACTTTATCAACCAGATAATATTTTGGCATTAAGAGGAGAAACTAATTTCTCTAAAATGATAGTAATTCATTATACCTATTGTAAAGTGCAACTCTACCCCCTCAAGGTAGGAGGTTACCAGGATTAACTGACTAATTTAATTCCATTTTGAACATGGGGAAGGCTCTGCCAGCCCCTGTAATAACATGATGGCCTCTTCCATTTGATGGCAATATTGAGCCTGTTCCCATGCCCACCTTTGTCCAAGCCCCTCTTTGTACTCTGGACATGTCAGCTATGCCATCCTGGTGCTTTCTCCTTCCCATTTTTTTTTTTGGTGGTTGAGTTTCTGGGTGCCGGGTTTGGTGTCTGCCTCCTCCACTCCTCTGCCACACAGCTGATTGGATGGGCTGAGTGGGCAGACTGGTCAGATTTTCTCCTGGACATTGAAGCAAAAAAACAGAAGGAAGTTGTCAATTTGTCATGATAATGGCCCATAAAGGTAACTAGTGAGAAGGCAGAAAATAGGAGAGAGAAGATTCTCTTAGTATCCTATGTGTGACAACAACATGTAAAACAAGATGAAAATTAACTAAAAGCTTTATTTCTCCCAATGGAGTGGTATTCCTGTTTGCTCAAACGTTAGTGAAAACTATTTGTCTTTTTCCCTTGACTTCCAATAAGCCCAGAACTGGACTATGACCAACCATGGGAACTTCTAATTGGCCTTTGTTTTGGTTGTAACTATATCTCTTGCTGTACATTATGCCTTTTGAACTTTTATTGAAACACGCATAACAATATGGGACAAACAACGACTCACATGTGGCATCTGAACATCATATAGAAACATGTATTATAGGAGTGTGAGGCTGGTTACAGTGCTAATGGGGATTTGTGCCTATAAACCAGCAGTGACTCTTGCTAAGCAAAAGTAAGGTTTCAGTGGGAGATATGAGAAAATATGACAGTGGTAACAAAGTTTTCTGCAGACTAGAGAGCCTTCTATCTGCAACCCGTGGTTATTAAGGTCAGCTAAGACTTCAAAAAGTACATAGTTGAAACATGATAATGGCCTATCTTCGGAATCTAGGACCAATACCACTTGCGCCACCAAATTTCTACGCTCTCACACCGGTCTCATTCAGATATTGTTCCCATACCCCTACACGTGGTGTATTGTGTACATAATTATAGACTCAGGCAACATGGAGAGTCCAATTTATTTTCTTATTTACTAATGTACTCTTCTTTCTCTGTTCACAGTTCTTTCTTACACTTCTGTTTCTTTGGAAATGCCTAATCATGGCAGGCGTTGGTGTCCTGCCCAAATGCCCTGGGATGGTGCTTCCTGGCTAGAATGGTATGCCCACCCCCCAGCCACTGCAGGGGCTCAGCTCTCAGCCTTCTGTGACTTTGCCTCAAGGTGCCTGGGAATGAAACTATAACCCCATTACTCCCCACACTGGGATACACAGCCTCAAAGCAGAACAGCTTCTGCAGCTCTCTCCTTGCTCCCCACCCCAGATTGTTCTCCTGAAAGCATCTTCTTGTGCCACTCCCTCCCCTCTTTGTTGTGCTTGCCTAAATCCTCAAACCTGCATACAACTTTTGAGTCCCCCCAAAACTTAACTACTAATAGCCTGCTGTTGCCTGGAAGCCTTACCAATAACATAAAGAGTCAACTAACACATACTGTATGTTACATGTTCTATACTATATTCTTCCAATAAAGTAAGCTAGAGAATAAACCACAGTGCTCACAAATCTTTATCTCAGTTTCTGCTTCTAGGGAACTTTCCGAGGAATTGGTATAACCTACCACTTGAAGAAAAAAATGGATACTTCAAAGCAAAATATATTTTTCCTCTTCTTTTGAACTTTCCCTCTAATTCAAAGTAGTGGCCACAGCTTTTGAACTTTATATTATAAGAGCATGTGTGACTAATGTTGCGTTTTATTCATTTAGAATTAATTAGTGTCTGTTATGGAAAGAGACCTAGCATTTTGCCCATAGAGGTGGGGGTAGGGGAAAGGATAGAGATATGCTCCCCTCTCTCCTGAATATCACTTCACTTCCTTTGGGCTTTGCTATTGAAGATGTATTCCACTGGGTCTTGAAGGATTTCTGGGTGTTAGAAAACCTCTGAATTATGTGTCCCTGAGGTTTTAGAAATACAGTTGACCCTTAAACAATGCAAGGATCAGGGGTACCAGCCCCTGTGCAGTCAAAAACCTGCATATAACTTTGGACTCCCCCCAAAACTTAATTACTAATAGCCTGCTGTTGCCTGGAAGCCTTACCAATAACATAAACAGTCAACTAACACATATTGTATGTTACATGTTCTATATTACATTCTTCCAATAAAGCAAGCTAGAGAAAAAAAATGGTATTAAGAAAATCATAAGGAAGATAAAATATTTTAAAAACTGGAAATAAGTGGACTTGTGCAATTCAAACCAGGTTTGTTAAAAGGTCAACTGTAAATCATTAAGTAGGACAATCTTGCACTTTTGGTGATGGGGAGATAGGAACGTTGCTGCGCTAAGTGTGCTCCATGTACTCCGTGGCAGGGACTGGGCTGTTGCGAAATCTGCACGGTGTCCTGGCCCTGTTTCCCTCAGTTTTTCTGGGGCTCCACACCGTGTGGGCTTTTTTCCTTCCCTGTGATCCTGCCTCACCTTTCAGGCTACGTTAGCGCACATGATGGTTCGTTTGATAATAGAGGTCACCTGTGCCCCTACTGTGTGGGGAAGCGCATGCTGTAAGAGCAGAATCACAGTTGCTTAATAAGCTGTTCACTACATTAACTAAAGAAAAGAGATTGTTCTTACAGACCCTGGGAAACTGGAGGACGCTTTGCAAGAAGAAAAACAGGGCTGTCAAGATAAGGCAGCATGGAAGCCCAGACGGGCCCATCACTCAGAAAAGGAGATACATTTTAAATGCAGACCAAGGACAGGGCCTATCTGGAGGGAGACAGTGTTCTGGAGCTAATCTTTGCAGTGTTCCGGGCTAATCTTTGCAAGGACAATGGTAGGAAGCAGATCCTGGAAACGCACCACTTTTAGATTTTTTCCCGCCCTCTCACCCTCCACAAGGGCTGGCTCGAGATGCAATGTCAGAGCGGTTTCCTTCAGGGTGTCATGCCTGCCGTTCTCTCGGATGGCTGTCTGTCTGAATAAAACCACTCCTCAAAGATTCAACCTCATCTCTGCTCACTGACTTGGGTAGCAACAGGCAGCAGGACTCTTTCCTGTCCAGTTTCACTACGAGGCTGCACCCTTCTTGGGGGAAGGAACCTTGTTTTTGTCATCTTCTGATGCTCCCCATTTCCCAGCATGAAGAAGGCGCTCAATATGTGTCTGTCACCACATGAATGGAGTTGACCTTTTTTCTAGGCAAGACTGTATCGTATAGAATTTTTGAAAGAGATGTTTCAATTCAAAGGAGATTAGAAGCTGGAAAGAGGATCTATAGAAGGACCAGAAGTTATTAAATGTATATTATACATTACAGGTTGGTATATTGAAGTTCATCTAAACAATGAGAATCTGCAGAGAGAGAAGGGAAATGCTGACTATTGATACTGGATAAACAAAGTCACATCGGGGTTAATCCAAAAAAGTAAATCACAAATTCAAGGACAAAGGTCCAGGTCATTGTTTAAAAACCCTCATATAGAGTCACATAAACCGTTAGTGGTATTTGGAAACAAATTTCTCTTCTACTTCACAGAGGCTGGCGAGACAAGAGGTCTTATTACCATGCTCTGATTTTTAGGGTTCCATGCTGAACGACAGAGAGGTGTCAGTCATATTTTTCTCATAGTTTTCATTGAATTGCTTGTTCTGAGCTTCAGTGAACTGATTTTTCCAGTCTCCCATGACTCCTAAAAAGAGTAATAAAGACACATTCAATAATATTTTTATGAACTTTGATCATTTTGCATTTAGATAATCCCTTTCCTCTCACTGCTGAAGTTCCTTACATAGACATGAGCCCATTGTTCCCTGACATTGAGTGAGAAATGAATCTGCAGGTAATATGATCCCATGTCACAAGCGAGGTATTTGTAAATAGAAAGCTTTGTCCTGAGATACTTGGGGAGGGGCTGAAATCTAGATCATGGGCTCTCTAATTCTCTGAGTTAGACTCTCAAGCTCTCTGATCTACCAGTACTTTGTGAACGGTCAGTACATCTAACTTTCTATTTAAGTTAACCGCACCTAATTTTCTTCTCTTCTCTTTACAGATCACTGGAACACTGATGTGAGTGGCTGCATCCTCAGAACACTGTCTGCTCCTATTTGTGGCTCTAGTTCAGGCAAAATTCATAGTTAAAATGAGAATTCTCCTTTCCAATCTAAATGATCATTGCTGTTAACATATAATTAAATTAAAGCAATATAATATAAAGGAATGGTAGGGTTGGTTAACTTTGTTTCATGCTTATACAACAGAGTATTTATATTTTGTTTTTTAGCTTCAATAACTAAAAATGGTTAGAGAGGCCATAGAAAGCTATTTCTCTTCTGATTGTTTCATGCTGTCTGATTCAGTTAGGCTCTTTAATCTGTACAATGTTATTTTCATGTGTGAAGTGTCAACTTGCTTAATTTTCTAAAGTTAATAAATTATATAATTTATCAATTGTTCTACAAGAAAATTAGGTGACCAAGTGGCATCAGCAAAATGGTGGAAGAGACACCAACCTTCATCCCCCCACAAAAACCAACAATTAGATAGCGACTCCTGAACAAAAACAGCCCTGGGAAGGCTTCAAGGGTCTAAGAACTTGAATCAACTCAGTAGGGCAGAAACAGGAGATTAACCATACAGAAAGGATCACTGAAGAGACTGGCATAGATGACATGTCTGGAGATGGCTAAGACCAAAGAAGGTGAGGCTATCAGTATCAAACACAGAGTGGGCGTCACTGTGGTCTGCAGTGGCCTGCTCTGCAGAGGACCTGGTAGCCTTTGCCACCCTGGAGCCTTAACAATCTTGTGACAGCCCCAAATGCCCTATAGCTTTCACAGTGGAGGACTCCATAGTGTTTGTCAACATGGACTTTAGTGGTTTGCTCTGTAAAAAAACTCTGGCAGCTTTTCCCACCGAGGTAACCAACAACCATCACCACCGCAGAACCCTCTAGAGAGGGACACACTGCCATGTGCCCTCTTCTCTAAGAAGGAGCTGCTGTTGTGGCTGCTCTGAGAGCATGGCCTTCACTCACCTCAGCCCCATTCATGTACTGGACCCCAGAGCCCCAGCCACCACATGCATGCCCATCCTCCATACGCAGACCCTACAACCACTTCACATGTGCCTGCACTGCAGACTATGATCCCTCTGTGAGCATCACACCAGAAATACCGAAATCACCAGCGCAGCAAGTGCATCTGCACCCCAGACCTATGCACCTCAGAGCTATGGCTGATCTGCATGTGCTTGCACTCTGTACTCTGGCTCTACAACTGCTCTGTGAGTGCCCCCATGTAGGACACTGGAGCCACCACCACAGTAGCCCCAGACACTGGAGCCATTTTAACTCTGTGAGGTCCCACACTAAATCTCTGGTTCCATGGCTGCTTCCCCTATGGGAGAAAAAGAGATCAGGAGGACCTCAGCATTCTTTGCCACTGAAGATCCCAACAGCATATGTTGCTGTGAGCACCTGCAGTCAGAACAGCTGGGGACCTCTGCACTCTTCACTGATGCTGACCTCAGCTGATGGAATGTCACAGAGACACCACTACTGTGCCCTCCCTGGAGCCAGAAGTGCTGCAGCTCACCCAGTCAGTGAACCCACACCCACCCACAGGTGAAGGTCTTTCCTCGTTGATACCAAATCATTAAGTCTGGAAGAGGTGACTACTCCATCAAATGTGCAGAAATCAGCACAAGGCTACAAGAAACGTGAAAAACCAAGGAAATGTGACATTGCCAAAGGAACACAATTGTTTTTGTAGTAACTGACTCCAAAGGAATGGAGATTTATGAATTGCTGGATCTAGAATTCAAAATAATTTTTTTAAGGAAGTTCAGCAAGCTACAAGAGAACACAGACAACTAAAGGAAAACAGGAAAACTATACATGAACAAAATAAGAATTTCAACAAATAGAAATCATAAAAAAACTAAACAGAAATTCTGGACCTGAAGAATACAATGAATGAATTGGGGGCGGAGGGGGAGGAATGTAATAGCAGATTTGATCAAGCAGAAGAAGGAATCTGAGAAATCAAAGACAAGTTATTTAGGTTATCCAGTTAGAAAAGAAAAAAGAAAAATAATTTAAAAGAGTAAAGAAGCCTATACTCTGGGACAACATCAAGAGGATTCATACACAAATCATAGAAATACCAGAAGAGAGAGAGAAAGGGCAGAGAGCTTAGGTATAATGGTGTAATGGTTAAAACTTCCCCAAACCGAGAAGGGATATATACATCCAGGGGCATGAAGCTCAAAGGCTTTCAACCCAAAAGAGTTCCTCACTGGACACATTGCAGTCACACTGTCAAAAAACAAAGATAAATAAATTTGAAGGCAACAAGAGAAGAGAGACTCTTCACATACAAGGAGCCCCAATAAGACTATTCGTCAGATTTCTTAGCATAAAACTTGCAGGCCAGGAGAGAGTGAGGTAATATATTCAAAGAGCTGAAAGACAAAACAAACTAACACCTGTCGACCAAGAATACTTACGTGGCAAAGCTGTCCTTCAGAAGAAAAGGAGAGAAAAGACTTTTCCAGGCAAACGAAAGTTGACAGTCAATCACCACTAAACCTGCCATACAAGAACTGCTAAAGGGAGTTTTTCCAGTTGAATCAAAAAGGTGTTAATTTGTAACATGAAAGTAAAACCTCACTGGTAAAACTTAGTAGTTTGGAAAAAGTTTAACCTTGAATAACATGGGTTTGAACTTCATGGTTCTACTTAATTTTTCCCCCCCAATAAATATGTACAATACTGTAAACATATTTTCTTTTCCTTTGTGATTTTCTTAATGACATTTTTTTCTCTAGCTTACTTTATAGTAAGAATGCAGTATATAATACATATAGAAAATACATTAATCAACAGTATATGTTATTGGGAATCAAAGTTATATGTGGTTTTCTGACTTTGTAGAGGTTGGCACTCCTAACTCCCATGTTGTTTAAGGGTTAACTATACTCTAAAACTGTACTAGTGGTGTGTAAATCACCTTTGAAACAGCATAAAGGTTAAAAAGCAAAGTATTAAAAATAACTATAACTAATAATTTGTTAATGGATACAGTATAAAAAGATGTAAACTGTGACATCCAAAAATGTAAAATGTGGGGGAGGGATTACAAGGGTAGGGCCTTGTATGAAAGTTAAGTTGTTAAGCCTCATGGAATCAAAGCAAAACACTACAAAAACAATCAATCACAAATGAAGACAGCAAGACAGGAAGAAAGGAAAAAACTACAAAAGATCCAGAAATAATTAATAAAATGGCAATAATAAGTCCTCATGTATCCATAACTTTAAAAAATATAAATGGTTTAGCCCTGGCCAGTATGGCTCAGTGGTTAAAATGTCAGCCCACGAACCAAATGAAGAGTCTTGGGTTCGAGTCCCGGTCAAGGGCACATACTCGGGTTGGGGGTTCACTCCCTGCCCCTGGTTGGGGCACGTGCAGGAGGCAACCAGTTGATGTGTCTCTCTCACATGGATGTTTCTCTCTTCCTCCCTCCCTTCCACTTTCTCTGAAAAGCAATGGAAAAAATATCCCCAAGTGAGGGTTAACAAGTAAAACAAAATAAAATAAAATAAAATAAAATAAAATAAAATAAAATGTAAATGGTTTAAACTCTTTAATCAAAAGATACAGAGTGACTGAATAAATAAAACACAAACTTCAGCTTTAGGGAATAGGCTGAAATTGAAAGGGTGAAAAAAAATCCCATGAAAATGAAAACCAAAAGAGAACATAAGTACTTAGACAAGATAGACTTTAAGTCAAAAACTGTCCTAAGAGACCAAGAAGATAAAGGAATCAACTTGTAAAGAGGACATGACAATTATAAATATATATTCATCCAACATCAGAGCACTTACATATATAAGGCACATACTAACTGACCCAAAGGGGGACATAGACAGCAACACCCCACTTTTAACAATGGATAGGTCATCCAGGCATAAAATAAATAAGAAAACATTGAATTTCATATCAACTGGGCTTAAGAGCTATATATAGAACATTCCATCCAAAAGCAGCCGAATGGAACAATCTACAGGATAGATCATATACGTTAGGTCACAAGACTAGCCTTACCAAATTTAAGAAGACAGAAATCATATCAAGTATTTTTTCCAACCACAATTGTATGAAACTAGCAAACAATAATAGAAAGAAAACTGGAAAATTCACAAATATTTGGAATTTAAAACATACTTCTGCACAACTGATGGGTCAAAGAAGAAATCGAAAGGAAATAAAAAACATTGAAGCAAATGAAAGTGGAAACACAACATACCAAAACTTGCAGAATGTTGCAAAAAACACTTCTGCCCAGCCAGTGTAGCTCAGTGGTTGAGCACTGGCCCATTTACCAGGAGGTCACGCAGGGTTTGATTCCTGGTCAGGGCACATGCCCAGGTTGAGGGCTCGATCCCCAGTCGGGGGCGTGCAGGAGGCAGCCAATCAGTGACTCTCATCACTGATGTTTCTCTCTCTCTTTCCCTCTCCCTTCCTCTCTCTTAAGTCAGTAAAAACATATTAAAAAACAAAACAAAACAACAAAAAAACTTCTAAGAAGGAAGTGTGATAAACATCACACTGTACATTAGGAAAACAGAAAGATATCAAGTAAGTAACCTAACTTGACACCTCAAGGAGCCAGAAAGTATTGGGAGGAATACTAGCTTCCCAGAAATGAGAAGCTTTACTTGAGAAAGAGTTTTTGGTGAAATGCATTTTGAAGCTCTGAGGCAGAAATGAACGAGTTTCTTCTCAGAAAATGTGCACGTGCTTCAAAGGGGGCAGTGTAAGTTGAAGTTTGCGGTTTCCCACATTTCTCTCTGAAGCTTGCACCGTGGGCTGGCTCTCTAACAGGCTTTAAGGAACTTCCTTCAGAAAGCACTGTACCGAGTGATTCACTGAGCTTGAATCTTAGAAAACCGTTTTATGAATTGATAGTGTTTCTCCTATTATCAGAGGAAAGACAAAGAACTTGCATACATCACCTTTCCTCATGAACGGAGAAAGATGGTGGTTCATTGCGGCGTCATTTATGTAGTTGGTCATGGGGTTCTTCTTCATTACGTCAAATGAAGTGTAATAGACAATTTTATCTAAAACCTCTTCTTTTAGGTTCATCCCCAGGAATTGCATAATTTTTCTAATTTCACACTTTGGGTCCTATGGGGAAGGGTAGAAGAAACAGTAGGTGTTTATTCTAAGGGAAAAAATGTAACAATGAACCAATCTTAGAGAATGAAGCATGGGAGCAATGGTTGAACCATTTAAAAGCCTATTAGTTTATGTTTAAAAGTAATTCTAACAAAAATAATTCCATATTTAAATTTATAAGTGTAAAATCAATGTGCTTGGAAATAAAAGTGCAGTTGTATTAAAACAATTGTGTTTCATCCTGTACTACAGCTGATGCTACGGGGACAGGCTAGGATTGTTTTATCTGGGAAGGTTTATTATTTTACTTCTCTTTTACAGGTAGCAGAGAAGAAGCTATTTGGGAGAACAGGTGGCAGTCTTTCAAAATAATCAAGACATGTTTCCTCCTTGTGACTGGAGAAACACACACATAAGGAGCCCATATTTCTCTGGCATAGTACAGAGGAGCTAGGGGGCCCCCTCTCTTGGCTTTGGCTTTGATGTCTGGTGACTGGATCAGGGCTTATTCCTGACTCTGGACATGTTGGGTGTACCTGTTCACAGATGGACCTTTTGAGAGCCCCTTACACTCTGCCCTGTTTGGAAGCCTCCAGGCTCCCCTTTGCAGATCTCCCCTCTTCTCCAGGGCAGCTCTGAATCAAATTTTCATGTCCTTCCCAGCCGGCCACTGGTTTGCTGCTGCTCTCAAACAGGCAAAGGGCCGGGGGAAGCACAGGGCTCTGCAGATACTTAGGAAAGCTGCAGAGAGCAGGGATGGCCTCAGCCAAACAGATGGAAGGAAAGAAACACTGCATTATTTCTACCCAGAGGGGAAGGAGGAAAGAGAAGCCATGGTTAATGACAGAAATGAGTTGGCAATCCACGTCAGAAACCAAGGCTTGGAGAACCATGGGCCAGCCAGGCTACATTTTGCCATATATTTATTTTACATATACATTTATGAAACAGGCTTTGAACCAGAGATTACCCATGTTGTTAATGGGGGACTTATTTAAAATGACAAAACTTTAATATTTTAAAAAAGCAAACAAATTAAAACAGCTCTATTCTTCCTCAGTAGTTCTTTACTGTTAAGAGTCCTGATTCTTTCCCTTTAAAGTCAGAAGAAATGATGGAGGGGGGTAGAGATTCTGGAAGGAGGAACCTGAAGAGCTAAAGAGGGAGAAAACTTGTAGCTCAAACAGGAGACCTCTTCCATGCTTCTGAATGAGGTGGGAATTGGCCCTAGAGTACAGTGAGGCCTGTAAGAAGAAACAGGCTGTGGAGTAAGGTACACACTGTACTGGTCCCATGTTTGGAGTTTTATATGTCACAGGACATGGCGATTGGAGAAGTTGAAGGTGGCATGCGAAATATTTTGCATAGATAAACTTTTATATGTTACTTTCCTTCTTTGCTGTCATGGATCTTTCAAAATAAACAAGACATGTTTCCTCCTTGTGTAACTCAGAAAAAAACAACCCTGTGAAGTTATAATTCAAGTATATTTCTTACTTTCTGCATTTCTTCGTAGAAAAGATAGAGAATGGGGTGACTGTCTTTCTTCTTCCACCAGCCTTTCACGTGGTCATACCAGGACCCCCATATCACTAGAAGGAAGACACATGGCATTTAGGCCAGGAGAAGTGAGAGTAGGAAAAGACAGAAAATAAAACGAGTTGTTTCCTCAGAATACAAATGGAAGGTGTGGTTGGTGCTACCCCAGAGCAGAACTTGCTTTTCATATATCCTATGTCCATATTCTGCATAACTTTTCTTCCTATTGGAAGCTGGCAAGATTACTCTCAGGCTCTAGGGCCTACTAGCTTTGAATCTCAGCTCTGACCCTGGGCCAGTTAGTTAAGTTCTCAGGCTCAGTTTTTTAAATCTTGGTCTCTGAAAGAAAATCAATAATAGTACCTACCTTATAAGGTAATATTAGGATGTATTAATTTATTCTTCTGAGCTTACTATGTGCTCAGCACCATTCTAGGTAATGGGGATAGAGCAGTGGATAGAACAGGTGGAGAGCCCTATTCTGGAAGTGCACCTTGTAGGGAAGATAAATGAGATAAATGTGAGATATGTAGTATATGAGACCATAAAGAATGTTTAGGAACAAAAAGAAATCAGAGAAGGAGAGGGAAAGTGTTGGGTTTATGTAGAAGGTTGAAATGTTCATAGGCTGGCCAGGAAAGGGCTCTTTGAGAAGGCAATATTGAGGAAAAACCTGAAGAAGGGAGTGTATTCCTGGGCAGAGGAACAGCAAGGTAAAGTGCTGGGGCAAGAAGTGCCTGGTGTTTGAGGTACAGCAGGGAGGCTGGTGGGACTAGGACAGAGTAAGAGAGGGGCAAAGGAGAGGGAGAACAATCTGAGAGGTAAGGAGGCCCAAGCCTGTGGGCCTTATGGGTCACAGTCAGGCTTTGGCTTTCACTCTGGGTGAAATGGGATGCCTTTGGTGGGACTTGAGCAAAGGAGTAAGGTGCTCTGACTTCCCTTTTAACAGAATCCCCTGGTTTCTGTGCAGAAAATAGATTGCAGCTTGGGAAGGCCAGAAGCTGAGAGATGGGATAGAGGCTATTCCTTTTTCTGGGGGAGGTGTGATGGTAGATTGGACCAGAGTGGTAAGAATATTGAGGATTGGTAAGATTCTGGATATATTTTGAAGGTAGGATTGACAGGCTTGCCGATGGATTGGATGGAGTGTGTGAGAAAGAGAGAGGCTCAAGATAAGTTCAAGATTTTAGGCATAAGTGACTTAAAGAACAATCACAATTAACTAAGATGTGGAAGCTTCCAGGAGGAAAGATGAAAGTTCAGATTTGGACACGTGAAGTCTGAGATGCTTCATAGTCATACAAGTGGAGATGTCTGCAAGGCAGCTGGGCCTATGTACCCAACACAAGGCCAAGGCCAGGAATAGGGTGTAAATCTATGGGTCATCAGCAGGTAGATTAGGCAGATAGAGGACATTTGAAGCTGTGAGATGATTGGGATGACCCCAAATCTGCATCATCAGGAGTCTCTCTCTCCCTGTCTCTCTGTAGAGGAGAACCTTCCAAGATCTGAACCTTCTCATGTCCAAGCTTTCAGCGTGGTGTACAACTTAGCCTCTCACAGGACAAGGAGCTGGAACTACACTCAGCTCTGACTGAGAAAGATCAGATCCATCTATACGTCAGCCCAGCCCCATGCCCTCAAGTTCTTCAACTAGGTCACTTCTGTGCAGCTCATTCTTTGTCAAAAGCATCTAACATCATTGTCTGAACATCCACAGTGAAATTTATTGAAGACATTAAAGCAGTAAAAATACCTCAGAGTATAAATGGATCATTCTCAAAATGTATCTTATAAGGAGTAAATCAGGAATAATAATTTTTATCATTTAGGATTATATAAATCAAATGGCAATTAAAGTTATATTTTCACACTTTATTGTAGACTAATGGAAAATAATACTTTATCAAATTTATTCATAATTATTGGAGAGGTATAGGACTTAAATATAGGAGAAATGTAGAGGGCATTTAGTTTTTCATAGATCAATATAAATAATTAGCAAAAGCGTTTCAGATATAAATTTTGAGCTTAAATAATCAAGTAATTTAGTGCAAATGTTTATGTTTTAGTCATGCAAAGCTGTCAATTCAACTTCATAGTGCAAAATATTCTGCTCTTATATTATATCTCCTAAAAGGTATAACCTTGAAATGATTTGCTTAAATTACCTTTTTTAACTTTTGAAAAATCTTGTTCCTATTAAAGTATTCAGGTATACACATAAGTAGAGGGGATAGTACAATGAATCTCTGTGAACCCATTACCCAGTTTCAATAATTTAATCACTTTTTAATATTCTTCAGACTTCTTTAGGAGAAGGGCTGATGTATTAAAATGTCGAGTAGTATTTGAGATTTAGAAAAACTTCAAGAATCTTGTGGTAATTTAGTTTTGACGCTGGAAGCATGATTCCAAGGCCATTTCTGCACATGATGGTTTATGATTTCAAAGTACCTTGGGCCACCATGTCACCAACTCATGATGGTTATGGTTGGAAGACTTGCTCATGCACAAAACCTTTCTCTCTAGTTGAACATGTAGACAATTGGGAAGACTTTCACATGACAGCCAAGCACACAGGATTTGAGTTTAACTAGTCCTGCCCATGTTATAGTTCTAGCCCCTACTCTTGCTAACAGGGTAATCATCAGCTCCACAAACTCAGGCTCAATTCTACCACCCATGAATTATGGGTATTATTACCATGCTTTAGAGATTAAACAAGGTACGCCTGTAAAACGCTTAGTATAGGCTTAGAGTTGGAACAGTCTTTTATTATAGCTGCTTTCCCTACAATACAGTTTTGGCTTTAGTTAGTGAATATATTGTCATTGGCCACAGATACACTGATCACCAGGGACAGGTAGCCAGAGCTACACCATATCTCTAGGGATGTTGCCTCTTGTCTTCCACCCCCGTAACCAGAGTTCCTTCTGTGAGTGAACCTTACAGAGAGAGTGCGATAGAAAGGAGAATTCTATGTGGAAATCTTATCTTCCAGAGGCAGAGGAGAAGACCGCTGCCTTCCACTTGGCTTACCTTTGCCTGACAGAAACGTTTCAAAGTACTCGTCCCAGCTTCCTGGGTCAGGGAGCCTTTTGTTCATCCTTTGAAAATGGTAGTAGGACACCATGTTGTCCTTGGCATTCCTTGCTATGTAAATTATCTACAGTGGTCAGAAGAAATGGAAGAAACAAAATGTAAATGATAAAAGATTTAGAAATCGAACATTTAATGTGCATAGCACCTGTCTATGTTCACAGCAACCAAGTTCTAAAGGCCATGAGTACATCTTTGCTCTCTTCACTCATCACCCATCAGCCAATATAACCTTGTAAACATGCAAATCTTATCAAGTTGCTACCCTGTATAAAACTTTTCAATATCTGTTCATTGCTCTTAAGATTAAGTGATAATTCTCAACCTGATGTACAAGGCCCTGTGTGATCTGGCTCTCAGCTAGCTCTCTAATTTTCTCTTGCTTGCTGCCAGCAGGTCACACTTACCCTCCCTCCTTCCGCAGCAGCACTATTTTTGCAGTTCTTTAATCTTTCTGGCCACTGTTTTCAGTGTGTCCTGTTCTGCCATTCCTCTCTTAAACCAGGAGGTCTTACATGATGGGCACCAAGAGGACTGTGCCTCTCCTTTAAATAGTGTGCAAACTGTTGTGTGGGTGTGTACCTTGACAGAAGTGAAGACGTGACTTCCTTCAGATTCTCAGTGTGGTTTGTGATCACTGAAACTTTAAAACCCTTAATTTAGCCCAGCCGGGCATGGCTCAGAGGTGGAGCATCAACCTATGATCCAGGAGATAGTGGTTTGATTTCCAGTCAGGGTACATGCCCGGGTTCAGGGCTTGATCCCCAGTGGGGGGGTGTGCAAGAGGCAGCTGGTCAATGACTCCCATCATTGATGTTTCTCTCTCTTCTCTCCCTCTCCCTTCCTTTCTCTGAAATCAATAAATATATATTTTAAAAATAAATAAATAAAACCTTTAATTTAAATGTTAAGGTTTTTTTAGAGCTCTTTTGAGGCCTACATTTATTCTCATTTTGTTCACTTTTTTTACCATCTTTTTCCATTGCTCTAAATTTCATATATTTATGACAAATTTGTTCCCAAAACATACCACTCTCCTAAGCTACATACGTATATATCTATACCAGAATGCCCTGCAGGCATTTCAGATTTAATGGGCTCAAAATTCAATTCATATTCAGATAAACTTACTCTTCCTGCTTCATTTACTTTTTTCATTAATGGTACCACTATCAATTAAAATCACAAGATCATACTAGATGCTTCTTTTTCTAGCTCTTCCAAGCCAATCTTTGACCAAGTCTGTAGATTCTATCTGTTCTTTACATTTGGAATTCATTTCACTGCCCGTATTTTATTTTTTAAATTTATTTTTAAAATTAAATTTATTGGGGTAACAGTGATTAATAACATTTTATGAATTTCAGGTCTATAGTTTTATAATACATCATCTGTATACTCCATTGTGCGCTCATCACCCAAAGTCTAGTCTTCTGTCACCATGTATGTATTTGACTACTTTTAACCTCTTATCCTAATTCCAGTCTTCCAAATTCTTTTTCTGGACTATTGCCACCATCTCCTCATTGATTTCCTTTCAGTCTTCTCCCAGTTCGCTTTGCCCCTCCAAGTTACCATATTCCCAGAGGATCTTTCTAAAATGTAAATGGGATCATTCATTCTCCTGTTCAAATTCCTTTACGAGGCCCGAGTAGCCTATAAGGTCCAAACATTTAGCGTGGCAACTAGGTCCTTCACTTCTGACTCCAACAAGTTAGGCTCATTTCTGGCCTCACATGTATTTTTTTAAGTACAAGAGCCATGGCTTCTGCTCATCTGGTAAACTGGAGTGCTCTCCCCTCTCTTACCACTTGGCAATTTCCTACTTACTCCTCATGACCCAACTCCTCTGTCACCCTTGCCAACCCTCCTTGTCAAGGAGTTGTGTACTTCCACCTTTCTGTTCCCGGAAGACTTTACCCAGTTCTTATGTTGCCTTATTGTTACCCCCAACTCAGGCCTAGTTCTATCTACACTACCAATATATTGACATTTGTCTTTAGTCATTTTTTTCCCCCTGAACCCAGATCTACAGAGGAAGATGCAAGATAGAGTGATTAAGGTTCTGGATACACTCTAGAAAACCAGGGATGCTATAAGGTGTGGCTTTTGACAAGACTATTAAAGGGCACATAACTGTTCCACGGAGAGGGAAGGCCAAGGACTCTTTTGGCTAAGTGCCAAGAGCCCATCTGCAGACTCTCTCTGTAGGTAAGCACTTTTTTAGACTACAAGTCAGTAAATGGTTTCTTGGGACTCTGAAAGAGTTGAAATGAGTTCTTTTAGTGACCAACTCATGATGTATGCAAACTTCCAGTTATAAAAACAGTCATGGGGATATCAACTACATACAGGGATTATAATCAATAGTATTGTAACAACTACGTATGGTGTTAGATGGGTACTAGACTTATCTGAGTGATCACTTTGTAAGTTATATAAATGTTTAATTATTATGTTATACACCTGAAACTAATATAATATTTTATGTTAACTGTAATTGAAAAATAAAAAATGATGTATGTGAAAATCAATTTGTACCCCTATAGATTTCAATATAGAAAATAATTTTTCTGTTTACAAAAATTTGACAAAATTATTTGGTTTTTTAGAACTTGTAGGCACCCTTAGAGGCTTGAAAGAGGCAATTTAGCTACAAGTGCAATAAAGTGAGAGGATAGTAGAGCCCATGGTTTCTAAGATTCCTCCAATGAAATCTTCTGATAAATAAATACTCTCATTACCTCAAGGCTAGGAGCCAACTGTGTATAAGCTTAGGAAGAATGTTGTGGCTGTAGGAAGCATGGACTAGGCAGCATGGGTAGTGAAAAGATCATGGGCTGTGAGGCCAGGAAGACCTGGATTTGCAGCCCATCTTATCCATCTTCCAAGTGTTTATCATTGGACAAGTTGTGTGACTTCTCTGAGCTGTGGTGTGCTCATCTGTACTCCCCTTTATAGCATTATTGAGGGGCTGAGGATGCTCAGAACCAAGGCTAATAGATGTTGGTCCTCTCCCTCTTCTCCATGTAGGTGCCTACTGAGCCCATCCTTATCAATGAGAGATGAAGACCATGGAAGATAATTGCAGGTCCCATAATACATTCCTCGGTGCTCCTGGTAGACACAACATGGTTCTAACACAATATCCTTAGGAGGAATATTCATCTCTGAATCTTTTCTGCTTCAAACTTACCTTACAGTTTTTCTCCCAGAAGGATGGAGGTAGTAGCTGCACGGGAAGATGAGTTTTCAGGGTCCTTGGGGAAGGCATTGCATTAGCCTCGTCAATTCCTGAAAAATTATACTGGCTTATTATTTACTTTTTAAAAAGTTTTTATTTCTTATACAGTTGATTGTGTCATTGTTTTCAATTATGGCTTTTGGGTTTAATGTCATGTTCAGCCCTCTTCCCTCCCAGACGATAAGAGCATCTTCCCTGTTTCCTTTTAGTACTTAGTACATTGTGTTTCATTTTGTATGTTAAAATCTTTGATACATTGGCCTTCACTTGGTGTCTTCTTTACTATTGAGTTCCCTATCCGTTTCTTATCCCATTAAGCTTTAATGACTATAACAGTACTGCTCAGCATCAGGGGTTGTTGTAACATGGCACATGTTAGGCTAATTCAAAAAACAAAAAAGAAAAAACAATGAACATTAATTTGTTAATTCGCTTTTCAAAGATGAGTTCATAATTCAGTTGTTTTAGATTGGATAAGAATGGATTCCAGTAGAAACATTAAAGATGACCAGGTTCCATCAGAGTCTATTTAACCCTGTCCTATACCTCAGATACATACTTTGGAGTAGTCCATACAAGAGATATACACACACACATATGAGAGAGAGAGAGAAACTTTAGAAACATAATTCTTTTTTTATTTTAATATATTTTTATTGATTTCAGAGAGAGGAAAGGAGAGGGAGAGAGAGAGTTGAAACATCAGTGATGAGAGAGTCATTGATCAGTTGCCTCTTGCTTGCCCCGACTGGGGATCAAACCCGCAACCCAGGCATGTGCCCTGACCGGGAATCGAACCGCGATCTCCTGGATCCTAGGTCGATGCTCAACCACTGAGCCACACCCAGCCTGGCCTAGAAACAGAATTCTTGAGTTCAAATCTTGGCTCAGTTACCTATTAGTTATGAACCTTGAGCAAATCATAACCTCTCTGTGTTTCAGTTTCATTTGTTACATGGGTATAAAATAGCAGCTACCTCACAAGTGGGTTGTGAAGACTAAAACACTACATGGGGTGTTTAGAATAATGCATGGCATGTGGTGAGTGCTATAAAAATCTTAGCTGTGGCTATACTACTTATTATTTTTCCATAAGTCGTTGCAAATTCTTACTTTGAACACTGGTATCCTTGGTGCCAGGCTTCCTTGGCCTTGGCACCGGGGTCGCACATGTGAAAGCAGGGACTCCGTTGGGGGAGGACTAGGTAGATATTCCTTGGCACTCGTAACTCATTGACGCTTTATTTAATAGAGAAGTAGTACCGTTCTATGTTAAGTATTAAGGCTAAATAAGTTTTTAAGTGAAGGGAGCTATCTAGATTTGCACAAGAAAAGATAACTTTCATTCAGCATTTAGAATTGGGAACCAAAGGTAGATTTTCATTTTTTCAGTGTGGTAGACTTTCAGAGTCTCAACTCTTAAATTTTCCCTCTTTATGTGAAGATGATGATTTGTATGTTGGAGACTTACCAGAGACCGTGCTTCTCATCCACTCCAAGAAAGGTTGTCGAAGGCTAATGGGAGCCCGTCTGCTCTTCTCAAAGTCTCCATTGTTCTGTATCAGATCTACAATTTCCTGTATCCAAGTAGTTCCTGAAAGTAAAATGAAGAACTGATTATTAATTTTCTGCAATTTACAATTTAGAAACATCTTATGCTACAGAAAGAATTAATCTGTCTATCAATACTGCACTTATGTTACTTACTACGTTGAATTGAAAACAATTATTAAGATTATCTTCTCACCAGAAAGTTTAAGGGAAGAAATGTGACATTCATGTTTATCTTCCAGTGACATATTTTTGAAAATCTATATATGCATTAGTATTTTTAGAAAATGATCATATAACTATTATATGTAATAATGGGGATTTATTTTTTAAAATATTTCCATTTGAGAAATATCACAGAAATTCACCATCACTCACTTTTACAATTAAACCCTTATAAATAATCTTGTTTCACCTTCTGGTTACTTTTTATTTTTAGAACCATGAAATTGTACTGGGTTGTAGTTGCCCTAGCAGACTAATGAGCTACCTGTGTAATAATCACAGTAGTTCAGGGTTTCTTTACCGTACTTTCCTTAATCTAAATTGGGACCTGCCAATATTTTTTTATGATCCCTTCCATGTTTCCTTCTTAGCCTTCAGCACATGTTGTAACCAAAGACCTATGTAATAATTTGTTTAATAATTTAATGCCCTCCAAACTGAATTGTAAATGTCAGCAGGGCAAATATAATGAATATCTTGTTTATCACTATGCCTGATATTTAGAAGATTCATGATAAATTATTATTGAATGAAAAAATGATTAGTATGGTGTTTTGACCTGCAGAATCTGATTTGGCTAGTTATATATTTTTAATAAATCAACTCCTCTATCTGTAAAAAAAACCCTCACAGTTTTGTAGAAAAATTTCAGATCCTTTGCCTTTCTATCTGATTTATAGGCAAGTACACTGGTTTACTCTGCCTTTGATCTTGACTGCATCCTAAAAGGAGCTGACGCACACTCTGACTTCCATTCCCCCCTCCTCATGCCTATATATGTACCTGCTTTGGGATAGGAAGCAATGAGAAGGTCATCAGGCTTGGCTTGAAAGTTCCAGATTTTATCCCAGTTGTTGCACAAATTCTTCTCTAGAACAATCCCTTCTACTTGGGAAACTTCTGCTGGGGGAAGCAAGGTCCAATCTAACTCCCTTGTCACCTCCACCTTATCTTTAGCCATTCCGTCCATCGTGGTCTTGGACACCAGCAGAGGAAAGTGACAAATCAATGAAAGGACTCCCACAGGTTTTATATCCTCTGTGCATAGGAACAGAGCTCTAGTTGTTTATGATAAGTATGTATGCTCGGGCAAACAAAGTGACCTCATTTGCATGGCTCTGCATATCCTGGATGGAACTAAAAAAAATGCTAACACTGTGCCAGAATACACCTTCCTTGTGGCCAGGCTCTGGCAGGGCTGCACCTCAATGCTGCCAGAAGGAAGAACAGTGGGAAGATAGCTCAGCCAAGGGGCCTCCCCAAATCCAGAGGTTACTTCCTGGTCCTGTGGGTGCCCACGAAGATAGGGAATTGAGAGGTGCCACTGAAGGAAAATCTGGGGCAAGTCTCCAGGAACCACCTTTCCTTTCTCTCTTCATCCAAAGTTAGTGATTCTGTGTTCTGGGCTTGGTCATCCATGGACATTTGGAGGACTACCTTCCCCAGAATGAGCAGAACTGAGCTTCTCTGAACATGCCACCTGTTAGAGGCATGTGTTGATGTCGTTGGGTTGGACAGTTCAGCTTGGGATTCCATCGCTGCTTCCAAGTTTGAATGTGAGAGTTATATCATTTTCAGGGCTCTTCTTTTCTGTAAGTGTGAGGTTAGACTGTAATATTTGGTGGGTATTACCAGATAGAGATGGGTTTTTTTTCCTTAAATTACATATAGTAAAATGCACAAATCTTTTTTTTTTTTTTTTTAAATATATTTTTATTGATTTCAGATAGAGGAAAGGAGAGGGAGAGAGAGAGATAGAAACATCAATGATGAGAGAGTCATTGACCAGCCGCCCAGCCCGCAACCCGGGCATGTGCCCCGACCAGGAATCGAACCCCGATTGCCTGGATCTTAGGTCGACGCTCAACCGCTGAGCCACGCCCGGCCGGGCAAAATGCACAAATCTTAACTTTACATATTGATGAATTATTACTTATACATACACCCATGTAACTACCACCCAGATCAAGATATAGAACCTTTCCATCACCTCAAAAAGTTCCCTCCAGCCTCTTTCCAGTCAATTCCTCTGCACCGTCCCATGCCCTGGCAAGCAATGTTCTGACTTTTATTGCCATTAATAAGTATTGCCTATTCTTGAACTTTATATCATGGCATCATACCATATGTCCCCCTTCATGTCTGGCTTCATTCTTTCAACATAGTGTTTTTGACATTTATTGATAGAGTTGCAAGAGTCAGTAGTTTATTTATTTCTATTACTATATACTATATCACTGAATAAATATACTACAATTTGTTTAATTACTCCTCCTTTGATGGACATATGGGTTGGTTCTAATTTTGGGTGATTATGAATAAAGTTTCTGTGAGATTTCAGTACTCTGTGTGTGGACACATGCATTCATTTCCCTGGGTGTGTGCCTAGGATCTGAATTGCTGCGCCATAGACATGTTTAACTTGAGTATAAACTGCCAGTTTCCCAATACATAGATAAGGGCACAGGTTAATGAGATCAAGAGCCACCTGCCCACCTGTCTGAATGACTTTCTACAGCTTTCTCTGATTTTGAGACTTTCCCTCTGGTAGTGTGGAGGAATGGCAGCCTTTTATTTATCTTGCTTAGTTGCTGCCTGGTAGCACTGTAAGTTTCACTCATTTTGGAGTGAATCCAGTATTGTCCTGCGTCACTCTGTGCCACTATGTTGAAGAGTCAGACTTCTCCAGGTGTTACTTTGCAAGAATTTCTCTCAGCCTCAAGACTGACTCAACCTTAGCAAGGAGGAGGGTGGGGTAGTCTCTCTGTCACCATGAAGGTGTTTAAAGCCGTACTGTTCACCAATGTTCTAGTATGTTTCCTCTGGGTATGCTGGGCACTGGCATTAATCACAGGTTTCAAACAAACCATTATTAAGGTCACCTGTGGAACAGTATTTCTCAACTTTAGCCTCAATTATTGCCATTGCTTTCCCCGGGGGTTCATCTTCAGATAAGATCTGCCACCAGGAATCCCTGAGCAGAAGGCAGAAAGCAAAAAGGTTGCTGATTGCTTCATTTCTTTTAGGTAAGTCTAAATATGTTTCTGGTTTGTTGTTGCTAAACTTCACCTGAGGATATTTTTTTCATTGATTTTTAGAGAGTATGTGGAAGGCAAGGAGGGAGGGGGAGAGAGAGAGAGACATTGATGTGAGAGAGAAACATCCATTGGTTGCCTTCTGTATGCTCCCCTACTGAGGATCAAACCCGAAACCCAGGTATGTGCTCAGACCGGGAATCGAACTGGCAACCTTTTGGCACTTGGGATGAAAACCAACCGAGCCACTTGGGCCGGGCTGTTTCCTTTTTTTTTTTACATGAGGTATGCATTGCCATTTTTGAGATTACAAAAGGTCAAATATTGCCTGACCCAGTTTTTAAGTTATTGCCTCTCAGGTCCAATTCCGCGACTCCATGATTTCTTTGCGACGCTGGAACTCTGCAGTCTGTGTTTCTGCTCAGCCAGCCGGCTCCCCTGAGTCTCTGCCCGTGGGGAGAGAGAGGAGCATGGACATGCTCCCTCTGTGAGCAGGGCCTGAGACGTTCCTTCCTTCCAGCAGTGGCAGCTCCTTTCTGTAGGATCAGCTCCATTGAGTTGGCTGCTTTGTCACACTCCTATAACCAGCGTCACCATGGCATCCTTGGAGACCCCACCGGGGCTGTGCAGTGTGCCCCCCCACTGGAGTTCTCCAGGCAACCCTTTTCCCAGCTCCTAGTTTGAGCAGTTTCAGTCATTCTGAAGTTGTCTTTGTGATATTTGAGTGTTTTTTTCTTTCCTTTTTCCCCCCAATTTCAAATAATTCAACCTACTATTTACTTGCACACCTGAATTTGATGGCACATCATAAATATAATGGCCACTCTAACAAAAGGGGAATGATATTCTCTTCTTTAGTAAGAAGCAGACACTTAGCACATAGATTTATTGGAGGACATGCATGTGGGGGGAAATGGGGACGGGACTGTCAGAGCATGACACAGGACCTACTCCTGTGGAAGGGAGGGAGGGAGAAGAGAGAAAGGCTGGGCAGGAAAAGACTTAGATTGTGGGTCAGTGCTAAGAAAGTCCTAGCAAAGCTGTTGGGGAAATTCTTGAGCCAAAGTCACTCTTAGAGACAATACTCTTGCTGGGAAAGTCAGGGCCAGATGAAGGGTTAGAAGACCTTGGCCATCTGACCTCAGGAATTTGTCCCTTGTGTTGGAGTCACAGCCACCAGTTTTGTAAGTCACACAGTTCCTCTTATAGCTCTGCAGGCTATGCTTGAAGACCTGTGAGGCCAGCCCTTTACTCAACAAAATGATTTTATTTTCCAGGTGCAGAAAGGAAAGAGGCACATAATTTCTAGTTCTTGTTGGACAACTTGAGCAAGTTTAAAAAGTCATTTCTTAGAAAAAAGTACTGATAAGAAAAATAAAAAGCATGAGATAAAGTAATAAAATTGCCCCTGGATAGTCTAGATCCCCCCCCCCCCC